CTAATTACGAAGCCACCCTGGCGCGTTACCAATATTTTTTGATGCAACGCCTAGATGCCATCATAGATACTATGCCAGGAAACCAAGGCGAACTTGCAAAAACCTTTGTTAAGGAAGCTATGACAGTCGCTGTGCAACAGCTTTCTACTGCAAGGCACCACGTAGACTCGGATTCGAGGTCGCTGGTCGGGGCCATTTCCCTCCGCAGACACGCCTGGTTGCGTAATTGCAATTTCCCTGACAAAATGAAGCGGAGAATTGAAGAAATGCCCTTTGATGGATCCGGTCTCTTCCACGCAAGAACGGACAGTAAATTGAAGAAGATCCATGAGTCTCGCATGACCGCTCATCGTATGGAATTACAATCTTTACCTAGACGTAAGTGGTCATGGTCACGCCCGCAATACCGTTCGCAATTTCCGCTTCGACAACAGCAACAACGTCACCAGTGCTACAGGCAGCAACCGCCCCAACGCTTCCAACAGGGTCGCCGTAGATTCGATACGGACAGGCGACAGCGTTGATGTGACGAGCGAACCGTTCCTCTCCTCCCATCTTTACCCTTCCCCCTCTCATTTGGGGATCGACTGAAGAGTCGACTCTCCATTTGGGAGTCAATTACATCTGATGGCTGGGTATTATCTATCATCCAGGACGGATATGGAATCGAATTCGATGTTGTACCATCTCCGAGTCCTATTCGATATACTACGCCTTCTTTGGTGCTGTTAGATGAGATTCAACAACTTCTCGTTAAGGGAGCTATTCGTCGCCTCTCGTTATCGGAAGGACTCCATGGATTCTATTCCAGATACTTTACGGTTCTGAAACGTGATGGAGGTCTTAGACCAATACTGGACTTGAGAGCTCTTAATAAATGCATAACACCAAAGAAGTTTCGGATGACCACGCTACAAAGTATTCTTCCGCTGCTGGGAAGAGGGGATTGGTTCGCTTCATTGGATCTAAAAGACGCTTATTTTCATATTTCAATACACCCAAGTTATAGGTGTTTCCTACGCTTTGCGGTAGACCATGAAGCTTATGAATTCAATGTTCTACCATTTGGATTGGCCACGGCACCAAGGGTTTTCACGAAGTGTATGGCCCCTGTGTGTGCACACCTTCGGCTGTGCGGGATTCGAATCTACCCGTACCTTGATGATTGGTTGCTTGTTGCCGATACGGAAGCTGGACTTGCGTCTGCTATTGAACTTACATGCTCTCTGTTGCACAACCTTGGACTTTGCATTAATCGATGGAAATCTTCCCTTGTCCCTACGCAGGTGATCGACTCTATCGGAGCTCGACTGGATTCGACGTCGACAAGAGCCTTCCTTCCTCGAGACAGACGATATGTGATTGCTCATCGCATTTCTCGAATTCAGCAAGCAAGAACCGTTTCCGCCCGATCTATTCAAAGCCTTTTGGGGCACATGTCTGCTTCCATTGCTGTGGTCCCTCATGCCAAGCTACGACTACGTCCCCTTCAACTGTTCTTCAACAAACTGTTTCGGCCACAGATAGACCCTCCTACCAAACGAATCCGACTATCGGCTTCAGTTCTCCAATCCCTGCTATGGTGGATGGATCCAGCCAATTTAACAGTTGGTGTTCCATTTCAACCTCGGTATCCCACAGTAACCCTCGGTACCGATGCGTCACTGCTGGGATGGGGGGCCATCTGCTCCAATCTAAGTACCCAAGGGAGATGGAGCCATCGGGATGGCAGGAATCATATCAATTTTCTGGAACTCCTTGCCGTTTTCAAAGCACTGCAAGCTTTCGAGGATCTGCTCCTCCATCAGATCGTTCAAGTGACCTCCGACAACGTGGCGACGGTCTTTTATTTAAACAAACAAGGAGGAACCCGATGCCAGAAGCTAGCCCGTCTCGCCATGCAGATTTGGGACTGTTGTATACCAAGGGGTATCACTATTCTAGCAGTTCACCTTGCGGGCACCGACAACACGGAAGCCGATCTCCTGAGCAGACACATGTCATGCTCCCACGAATGGGAGTTAGACCGTCGGGTTCGAAACATGTTATTTCATAGATGGGGTCGACCAGACATCGACCTGTTTGCCACTCAAGGGAACAGAGTGTGCAGGACCTATTGCTCCAGAGCGGGAGTGGGTCAGGACTCCCTGGGCAACGCTTTCATGATTCCATGGACAGGCGTAATTTTTTATGCTTTCCCCCCGATCCCACTTATCATGAGAGTGCTTGCAAAGATCATTCACGAAGGAGCTACAGGAATACTAATCACTCCATGGTGGCCACGACAGCCGTGGTTCCCAACTCTCCTTCAAGTTTCCAGGGAGGATTTTCTTCAACTCCCTCTTCTCCCTTATCTAATCACCCAGAAGGAAGGCACAGTTCGTCACCCAGACTTGCTATCATTGAAGCTGACTGCATGGCAGATACGGTGACCTGGGGTGATACATCGGTATCGACACCGCCTACCATCCCGACCATGTATACCCAGCAGAGCCTGCACCCGGATCTGCAGTATATTCTTGAATCTGCACTACGACCATCTACCAGGAAGTCGTACACAGCAAAATGGAAAAGATTTTCTAACTTCGCCAATTTACACTCTTTTCCAGCCTCCTCAGCCTCTGTTTCACAGATACTTCAGTTCCTTTTTGAACTACATCAGTCTGGACTCAAACCTTCATCTATAAAGGTTTATATAGCAGCGCTCTCCCACTACAGAGGAGCTATACATGGTTTTTCCCTTTTTGCTCAACCTCTAATAAAAAGATTTTTGAGAGGCTTAAGTAATCTGAATCCCACTGTAAAACCCCTAATGCCTACATGGAGTCTCTCGGTGGTTTTACAAGCATCAACTCGATCACCGTTCGAGCCCATGGCGACAATTGATTTACGCCTCGTTTCTTGGAAAACAGCCTTCCTCGTGGCAGTGGCTTCAGCACGTGGATCCTCTGAACTATGCGCTCTTCGAGTGGATCCCCCTTTTCTAAATTTTCATAAGGAAAAGGTGGTTCTTCATATGGATCCGTCTTTCCTTCCGAAGGTTGCTACCTCTTTCCATATGCAACAGGAAATTGTGTTACCGGCGTTTTTTCCGGTCCCTTCGAATCCGATAGAAAGATCTCTACATATGCTGGACGTCTGTCGCTGCTTAGCCTTTTATAGATCCAGGACTGAATCCTTTCGACATTCAAATAGACTCTTTGTGAAATATTCGGAGCACGACAAAGATTGTCCAGTTACCTCTCAGCGCCTTTCGAAATGGATAGTTAATACAATTGTCCTAGCTTATCAGCTAGCCAAGTTGGACTTACCATCTATTCCAAAAGGCCACTCCACAAGAGCTGTCGCTGCCTCTTCAGCCTTTGCATCGGGAGTTCCGATAGAGGATGTGTGCAAGGCGGCCATTTGGGCTACCCCGTGCACCTTTGCCAAACACTACAGGCTAGATGTCCGTGCCAGACAGGATTGCTCTTTTGGCAGAGCTGTACTTTCGTCTGTCCTTTGATGATGACACCTCCCTCCTCCGGGTGGGGTAAGCTTGTTATTCTACCCATATGTGTGATGCACAGAGGCCACGACGAAGAAAAGCAGGTTGCTTACCTGTAACTGATGTTCTTCGAGTGGCCATCTGTGCAGTCACACAACCCACCCTCCGACCCCTCTTGGTGTCATGGGTGGTTCGATTATTTTTACTTAGATATTATAATCTCTCCTATGTGTCGTACCGCTATTTCTTTAACCTTCTTGTACTAATGTGCAATGTCATAGGGAACCGAACGTCGGTCTCTCAAAGACTGAAAATGGCGGTCACTCTGCTCCTTATATACTGCTAGGGGGGAGGGGGAGCAGAGTCCCTGCCGAAAAGGAAACCGTTAGCTATCAATCTTCCGGCCAAAGGCACTGCGCAGGCGCAGAACCCATATGTGTGACTGCACAGATGGCTACTCGAAGAACATCAGTTACAGGTAAGCAACCTGCTTTTCTGGATTTAGTCTTGTATTATTAATTTGGTAGCTCATCATTTTTTTCACATGTAGGTGATATGTAGGATTTTTGTGAACATGATGTTTTTTATCAGGAAACGAAAGAAAGAAAAGAAAAAAAAGAAAACAGAAAGATTATGAGCTATACTTAGCCATATGTCAGGGAAAATTGACTTCAACAAGCTAAGAATGAAGGTAATTTTGCCAGTCAAAAGGGGATTCAGTCCTAGGAATACAGAAGTTGCATCATAAAATGCAGTGGGGGTAGTTTTTTGCAGGTGTTTGGATTTCAAAATTTGTGTATTTGTTTATTATTGCGTTTACATTTCACTTCTCTTCCTATTGCTAGGAATCCAATGTAACTAACATAATCCTCTTCCTGTCCATTTTTGTCCTCATGATAGGGTGAAAGTCAAACCCCAGTCTTACACTCTTAACCAGTATGCTATACTGTCTCTCTGACTGTAACAGAATTGTTTCTGTGCTTGAGTGAAGATGTATTTGAGAAAAAAGAGGAAAGAGTATGACAAAATATTTGAATGTTAACATTCTGAAATAGTTTCCATGGAGGCTGAAATGTCATAGCAGAAAACTATTGAACTCATTTTAAATTATGCTTAAAGTGGAAGGCAGGATATAAATCAGAAAATAAATAAATAAACCCTGGTTAGTCTTAACTCTGGTTGAGGTTAGTGCTGATGCAATGTTTAATCAGCAAACAGAGTTTGCAGCCCAGAAGGACTGGGGTGAAGAGAGAATGAGTTTAAGCAATTAGGAACATTATGTGTATATTCAAAACCTGTATGTTATATGAAACATAAGAATTTGTAATGTGTGAGGGTTAAGACACTGTATTATAGTTACCATTTCATTAATCTTCAGTAATTATTTTATGGAATTAGATAGGGCAGTTAGTAATTGTTGTTTTGAGTTAGTTAGCAAATGTTGCTACTTCATCCATAATCTTCTGAGACTGTGGCATTAGAGTTTCATTTACTTGTTTTGTTTTGTTTACAGCTTCCAAGTGAGGATACAGAAATATATGAGAATGCATCACAGTGCTTGTCATTGTTAGTTCAACTCTACGGTGGAGACAATTCGGATAGTATGTCTCCAGAAAATATGGACAGCTTTGCTGAAGTGCTACAGGTCAAAAAAGAAGTAAAAGATCAGAAGCTTTTACTGAGAGTCATTAAAAGACTGGTAAGTCAACTACATTCCAGGATGTTCATGAAATATTTCTACTGTTATCTATTATAAATAAAATAATCACTGTGGATAAGAAGGTGATTTTTCTGATTATACAAGGTGCTAGTTTGGGTGTTCACAACAATTTAAAAACATAATAGCATAAAATGCAATGTAATTAAGCATTTAAAATACTGTAAAAAAAGTAAAAAAACAAATTAAAACCTAGCAAACCTTTAAAATACAGTAAAGGTTTAACGAAACAGTGCCTGAAACTAAAATTTTGGGAAAATAAGTCGTTTGTCTGGCACCAGAAGCAGCATAAGGCCAGGTAAGTCTCTCTGGGAAGTTAATTCCATAATCTGGATGTCTCAACAATAAAGACCACTTTAGTAGCCACTCACCATGTAGAGAACAGAATCAGAGTATGAATAAACAAATACCTTACTAAACTGAATGTTATACATGTAGTTCCAAGATTTAAGAAAGAGTTCCATTCCTGAGAATGTCCTTAAGTGTTTTATACACATGGAAAGGAACAATATATAATAACAAATATTTGGTTTACTCATGTGATCTGACTTGCTTACAAATTGGACCTAAGAAACATGTCCATATTCAGTAAACATCTGAAACTCAATACAACATCATAATAATGATAATAATACAGTAATAATAAAGTAACTTCAGGTACTGAAGAGAGAGAGGGAGCAAGCATCTGTATGCATGTGTGCAGGTATACAGAATTGTAAAAAAAATAAATAAAGTTATTAAAACAGTTTAGAACATTCTTGAGGTAACACTAAGCCTAACAGTAACTGAAGATGATGGAAATGGGCCTGGTGCTGGAGAGTCAGGGTTTGATTGTGTTGCTGGGGGTTAGTGAGGAGGGATTGCTTTCTTGAAATAGGCCTCAAGGGTTGCTTGTACAGCCAGAATAACTACTGCCACTGCCACCACCTCCAGTAGCACCACCAGCTTTGCTGCCTGGAACATTGTGGACATAGAACCTCCAAAGTGCCTTTGCGCTTCTCAGCTGGAGCAGGCGGGGCATGCTGAGGTCAGTTTTCTTGAGGCCAGAAGCCCAACCTGCTCTTTTCCTGATTCTCATCAAGAGAGCAGGATGGGATAGCAATCTTGGGTTTGCTCAGCACAGTCATGCTTATGCCATCACTGGAATCCAGACTAGGGGAGGTATGCGCCAAGCCCTCTGCAAGCCACAAAATAAATTTGAAGAACCACATGTGGCTCTCAAGCCTTGGTTTGGCCACCCCAAATACAGGGTTTATGGAAGTCTGCGCATTTGTAAGTACAGTGGTACCTCGGCTCATGAATGCCTCACTTCACGACCAAATTGGGTTACAAACAAAAATTTCATAAAAATTTTGACTCAGGTCGTGGACTCCACATTGGGTGGCGACCATGATTGTGGCCATCTCCCCCACCCCCCTGAGTGGGGAGATGGCCACAGTTGTGCTGGGGGTGTGGGGGAGATGGCCGAGATTGCGCCCATCTTTCCTGCCCGAGCGCGCCCATGAATGCACCCATCTTTCCTGCAGGAGCAACCTCAGCTATCTCTCCCCCCAGCACGATGGGGCCCATCTCCCCCCCTGAGTGCACCCATGTTCACGCCCTTCCCCCCCCCAAGCATGCCCATGTTCACGCCTGTGCCTCCTCCCCCCCCCCCAGCATGATTGTGCCCGTCTCTCCCCCCTCAGCACACCAGGATGACGGTGTGCAGGGATGACGGGCGATTCCAGTTGTGCTGTGGGGGTGGGGAGATGGCCATGCTTGTGGGTGGGGGGGGGAGATGGCCTCAATCTTTTTGCTCTTTGTCACTTTGCTTCACATTTTTCTGATTTAAAAAATATAGAACGGATTAACCTTATTTATATTGAACCATATGGGGAAATTTAACTTGACTCACGACCAATTTGGGTCACGACCAGAGTCCTGGAACGTACAGGTTTTTCATAACCCAGACATTTATAATCTGGGGCCTTACCTGTATAGCTAGGTTAACAGAAGATATTTAACGGAAAAATATTAGTCACATATTAGGAGAGACAGAGAAATGAGCTTCAGCTAATGAGAAAATAATTTGAGTAGTTAAACTGTACCTTAGCTTGTATTCCATATCTACATTGCTTACTTTTAAAACAAGACGTAGTGGTCTGTGCTGGCAAAACCAAGCATGAGATAAGCATTATTATTTCTCATGTAGTTGAGGGACAGTTCTCCATATTCTTAAATGCACAACATTTCAGTTTGTGCTTTTTTAATAATCCGGTTGCATGCAGAAGTTTGGGCTGATTGTTCTCATCAAGGAAGAAAAGCACTTCATGGTAAAGAGCTTATAGTTACATATTAACAATCAACAAAAAACATTAACCAGCACATTAGTTTGTCAGTGGAAAGTTATGGAAATGCAATGAGTTTTCATTCCTCTCACACTTCTCCAATACAAGTGGCAAATTAGTTTCTTGGAAGTAGAGTGAAGTGGAATACATGGCAAATAACATATGCACACCTACTGTAAATCTTATACTTCTCACCTTGAAGTATCTTTGGAAGATATTTTAGCTGGGTTTTTTGGTGGGGGCGGGGGTAATTAAATCTTTCTCTACAGTATCAACTAAAGTGTTGTGCTGTGATGGGTATACCCATTTTCTTTATTTGTCACCTTGGTTGTAATGAAGACTAACACACAGCTTCTGCAAGACATTTTGAGTTGCAGTTGGATGCGATACGAAACAAGAAACCCATAACTCTTTCACTGGCATTTGCAGTCTCGACCTGCAGATTTAGATTAGATAAGAATCTCCATGCTGTCTTTCCACTGAATATAATGTTGAGTGTAACTTTGCCTTAGAAATTCCAGATGAGTAGACACATTATTGCATTAATGGAAAAACTAGTGGCTCTTGAAAGGTTAACAAAATTTATTGTGGCATATGTTCTCAGAGGTGTTCTAGTAGGTGCATCTGACAAAATAAGCTATGGTTTCTGAAAGCTTGTACCATTGTAAATGCATTTGTCTTTAAGATGCCACAGGATTTTTTGTTGTTCCTATCTGATAATATTTCCAGTGTGCAGTCCCACAGGAATGCTGCTGAAATGTCTGGATGTGTTCATTAATCTTCTCTTTTGGGACATACACCAACATCTATCTTTCATTTCTTTTAATATTTTATGCTGCGAAATGAACCATAATTGGTCCAACCATTGTTCTTGCCAATTCTTGTTGTAGAAAGAAATTAAACAAAGAGATACTTTGGATTCAATATATACAACACTTCAGGTGTGTGTGAGTGTCTTGATTGAAATTAATTCTGTTGCAAAAACATTAAAAATTGAGTGTGTTTTGGCATCGGAAATTCAATCTTACTTTTTTTTCTTAAAGATGCTTATTATATTTTTATGTGTCCTTAAAATACATTTTGTTGCCTCTAATAACTTTATGTATTTTCTTGAAGTAAGTGACAGAACTAGATATGGCACTGGAGATAATGTGATGGAATCTTTCAACATCTTTTTCAAAATATTTCAACATCTTTTTCAAAGCCAGAGGGTGGGGGCACCAAAATTGGATCAAGAATACAGGGCTGCAAAAGCAAGTTTAATTAACTTTTCCCACTCATGCTGTCACCCCAAATACCGTTAACTTGCTCAAGGAAAAGCACATGCCTATGTTGTACCCCTGTTCCATAACACTACTACTAGAGGGGTGATTGGGGAAATGGCATGAAGCATGTAGTTGTCCACACCTTAACATGCATAGGGTTTCTAGCACTGATCCAAGTTGCCCCTTCTGATGGATCCCAAGTTTTGAAAGGTTCTCAGGAGCTCCATTCATGGACCTCCCATTTCTCATTTGTTTTGTTAATAAAATGAAATGAAAAACTCATCAAGACAAAGACACATTTATACATACCACAAACAGGTTATTAACCTAAATATTTTATGTTGCTAATATTAATATCATTACAAATTTTATCCCATTGCTATTGTGTCAATAACTGTTATACAAGCAGATGTTTGTATAATAGTTATGAACATATTTTCATAAAATCAGAGGGCCTTAAGAGATCATGGATGCAGAGGACTTTACCAGTGTAGAGTTGCTTAGCAACCTTAAACCATTGCATTTCCAGTCTCTGTAATAACATGATGTACTTTTCTGCTGCTACTCCCTGATGTGATACACCTAATTCCTTTTTGCATGTTATATTCTAGAAGTGAGATTGGATACAGTTTTAAATATTTCTTCATATCAACACCAGGATAGATTTTCCCACTTGTCCATGAACTATACAACTGGCTAAGGTCAAGCTAAAATAGACTTCATGATCAAATTTTGAAGTGCCACATATTATTTCTAGATAATCCTAAAAATCAGGCCAATGTTTTACATAATACTACAGCAACAACACAAAACTAGCATGTCAGAAGCTCCTATTTGGAGCCATTTGTGATGCTGTTTAAGGTTCTGCAAATCCATTTAAAAGATCCACTAGATCAATGTAACTTGCATGCTTGTTGACATGTCCATATGTTTTGAAAGTGTGCAGCAAGACTGCTAGTGAGCCTGTTGTTAATGAGTGGTGTTGTGATCTTCATGCCCATGTCTGGATAGAAAGCAGTAGGCAGGCATGCAAGAATCTTGTACAGATCTGTGCTTTACATGCAAGAAACAGTGAGGAGTGGGAGAAGAAACAAATGTGAAGAGAAGGAAGTAATGGTACCAGAAAGAGCATGCTGTGTAACCACAAGGGTAAGGAGTGGTAACTCCTGGCCTCTGTCTGCCTCATCACTGGAGTAATAACTCCAGCATATGATGCTGACAAAGGTTTGCATAGAGAATTAATATGATCACATAAGGTCAAAAAGGAGAAGGCTATAGTAGTCTATAAGCACAGATGATCAACAGGACAAAAACAATTTGCCTGGACCCCTTCAAGCATAGTGGCACCTCTGTTTTATTATTTCCAGACCCTGACTTTATTCCCTTATGT